TTGAGGTTCACATTTCACTTGTTACTTATTCATCTTTCTTTTTAGCAAGAGCTAAGACTGGGAGACCCTAGGATAAAAACTTTACAAATGACAGTGAGATCTCTTCATTCATTCTCAGCAGAGCTCCCTGGATTTCTCCAGTGACTCATCCATTTCTGACAGTCAGAAATGTCTGGTTGCAGACAGAGGGAGTGGGGTGGAGGATGAGCCCAAACGCTCAAGTGAGACATTCCTGGGTTTGTGCTTTGACCCAGCCATTTGTCAGCTGATATTGAATTCTTTCCTTTTTTTTTTTTTTGAATTCTTTCCTTATCTGTACTATCTGTCTAATAATTCATATCCATCATACAGATGGTGTGAACTTAAGAAACAATGGTAGCAAATGTTTATTGACAACTGTTGGACTCTTAAGTGCTTGATCTGTTTTATCTCTTGTGATTCTGCTCAGTTAGGAATTCCAAAGCTGGGATCTGAAGATTGGTATATTTTTAAACCTCCCCAGCTAATTCTCAGATTAGTCAAGCTGAGAACCATGGTTGTGCGTTGATGTTTAGACAATGACTGCTAAGACCTTAACTGCTCAGGGTCTAAGAGATTAAAAGACCTCATTCCATCACTCACTAGTTGAATGCACTTGGCCAAGTCTTTCAACCCATCCAAGCCTCAGTTTCCTCATCCATAAAATGGGAGCAAAACATAGCATCCGCTTTTGAGAATTGTTCAGAAGGTAAAATAAGTCAGTTAGGTGACTATGCCTGGCATGCACAAAATGTTTGATGAATGTTAGCCTTTGCCATTAGGACAACTCGTTTTTCTTAGTTGACTGAGAGCTCAAAGACTTTCTGACCTTTGTGCGTAGATGACTCTGTCTTAGTTTAAATTTATTGCTCTTCCATCTACATTGTTCATTTCAAATTCTAAGGGCTAGGGAAGGCAGACTAGTATGTTACAGTGGAAAAATCCTTGTGTTTGCTACAACAGGGTTGAGTTTGAATCTATGTATCCATTTGAGCCTCATGGGAGAAGAATCCCCTCCATTGTAATGAAAATTGGAGATAATTCTTGTAAAGGGTACAACATATAGGTATTGCATTAAATTTGCCAGTGTTTTGGTTCTAAAATGCACAAGATTTTGCAAAAGGGAAGAAAGCCCTTAAAAAAATTCAAACAGGAAACAGAGGCAGAGGACGGGGAGGACATAGAGGATGAGGAAAAGCTGGGGGGGGGCCTTGAGGCTCGGAGTCCTGAGGGACAAATCTCCGTGTTACCACTACTTGGGCTTAGTGATGGAAGGGGCACTGGTTATTACTCAACCTCAGAGCATGGCCACGGAGCAAACAGTGTTGTTATCCCTACTCAGCACTGGGCCAGAACCACCTGTTTCCTTGTGCAGGATTTCACAGTTCAGCTAGAGGCTGGCTTTGACCCTCAAAGAGCCACATGAACTCATGGTTGGTCCGTGGCTTCAGCACTGAGATTTGAGAACAGAGGGACAATTCCTCTCTCTGGACTTCTTTAGAAGGAGAATGGCATTTTACTTGCCTCAGGCAGTCTTAGACCCATCTTTGGAAATTACAGGGGTTACTAATACTAAATGTAGTCAGTGTAAATGCTTTCCAATAATACATGTCCAGCTTCTAGGTGCAGTAGCCAGGAAACTTTTCCCTTTTTCCCTTCTAGTTTCTTTGGCTGGTCTAATAATTAAATTGACATAAGACAGAGTAACAAGAGAAGAACAAATTTAACTTCATACCTATGGGGGAGATCATAGAAATATCAGACTCGAAGAAATGACCAAAGCAGGTAGCTTTTATACCTTGTAGACAAACAATAAATTTGTGAAAAATTGACAAGAGAAAGAAGTTCAGGCTTGGAGTAGTAAATTGGTGAGGAAATAACAAGGTTTGCTCATTCAATCTTCTCAGCTCTAAATTCCCTATCCCTGGTAGTAAAGATATCTCTCTACCTCCTGATACAGGGAGGGTACCTTTAACAGGGAAGATTTATATCCTGCTTTCAGGGGGAAAAGGAGGGTCAAAGTGTCTTTTTTGCACTGATTATTTCTTAATAAACTCTAATTAAAAACAATCCATATGCAAAGTGATTTTGCATTTTTTTGGGGTGGCATATTCTGCCCCTCTCACTAACCAGTTAGTTTATATAGTGACACATTGTCCCCGTCCCTTTTCTGAATAGTTGGAAATGGGGCATCTGTTCCTTTAAGAAACATTTCTTGTTCCAGTGAGTCATCTCTGTCCACTTGCTTTAGGAATCAAGTTTATTTTCTAGCTCTTTCTGTTGAGGAATTTTCTTTTTTTGCTTGCTGAATACCAGATGCTGCTCTTGTCCCTTGTGATTTTTTTAAAGCTCTGCTGAATTCGCCAATAAATTCTGAATGCAGAGGACAGGAAGTGAATCCCCTGGGGAGGTAGAAAGTGGAGTTATCGAAAGTAAAAGAAAACTTCCTGGAGGTGTTTCCATCCCCACTGCCCTCATCCCCACCCTGTTTCATGGGAATTTTCTCTGGTTGTGTGGACAAGCCTTAGGTATTTGTATGAAACTAGGCAGCTCAGGGGTCTTGGCATTGGACACTTGGTGACTGTGATGTTGCCGGGACAGGGTGGAGCAGGTGAGTGCCTGATACAGAGGTGGGTTCTGAATACAATGTTTCGGGGGACTCGTTCAGGGGGCAGAGTGGGGACACCTCAGGGTCCTGCCAGGGCCCCAGACCTCTGAGTGGAGTTTCTCTCTGAACCATAGCCTCTGGTCTTGCTACTTTTTAACTCAATTCTTCTGCTACATTTCTGTTCTTAGTGTCTCTCCCCCGCTCTTTGCCTCTCTCAAACGCAGACGCAGACCCCGTGTCTCTTTCCTGCTGGGTCAGTTTGGAGATTCATTGTTTACCTACTTTGTTTGTTTTCTTTTCCTTTTGGGCAGAGGGTTGAGTTAATCTGTCAGGTCCTGCCCAGCGCCTCTTTGTTTCCCAGCCATATTCTAGGCACTTTCTTCCCATTCTTCTCCCACCCTACTTCCTACCCTCCCCACTGCCTCCCAAAAGGCAACTCTGAATCTTTTGATACTATCCCTGAATTGATCTGTATCTTTGCAAAATGTATCATTGTTTAGTGTGTATACACTATTTTTTATCTATGAACTGGAACGAGTACCTACGTTTCCTCATCATTAAATGGGATTCATACCACCTCATGAAGTGGTTTTGAGGATTCAAGGAGATAATATGAGTTAACTACTTACAACGGTGACCGGCACTAATAAATTCTCAGTAAGTATTAGCAATTATTACTATGTATTAATATTTTTTAAATTGTATTTTGCTCATTCTGTTTTTTTTTTTAAAGAGCAAGCACCCTGGGGTGTCTGGGTGGCATAGTCCGTTAAACATCCCACTTCAGCAAAGTGAGTTCAAGCCCTGCGTTGGGCTCTGTGCTGACAGCTCAGAGCCTGGAGCCTGCTTCAGATTCTGTGTCTCCCTCTCTCTCTGCCCCTCCCTTGTTCTCGCTCTCTCAAAAATGAATAAATGTTTAAAAAATTTTAATTAAAAAAATTAAAAACATAATAAAATAAAAAGCAAGCACTCTGACACTTAAAGTTCTATGTTTTGCCAGGTCCCACTTTCTGACCCCTACATGGTATTACATGATGGACAGTGTTCGTAGTCCCGGAGAAGGACTACATAAGAACATGCCCACCAATCCTTGGTCCAACTTGCAAACCTTGGCCAATATCTGATAGGTACGAAGTGGGTATCATGTTGCTTTATTTTGCATTTCTCGGGTAATTAAAACTTTTGAGCATCACCTTGTGCTCAAGGTGCTTTTAAGCATCCCTGTCAAGAAACTCCATGTTCATTTCCATTGTCCCTCTATGGGGTTTCTTCTTGATTTGCAGGAAACGTTTGTAGGTTATAGATATTGCTACTCCTATGGCAGGTTCTGGGAACAGAGACATGAAAGATATGATCCCTACCGTTGTGAAGCTCACAGCCTAGCCCAAGGACTGGTCACAAAACAGTGGAACAAATGCTTAGGAAGCATCAATAATCAGGGAATCCCTCCTAGACTATGTTTTAGCTACTAACAGGATTTTCTTCTGTTGCTATGTTCTCACTCGGACTCCATGGTCATAATCAAATGGTAGCAAAGGGCATCGATCTTACCTACCATGGCACCTTTACCTAGCCCTCTATAGGTGAGAAGGCACTTTCAGATCCCTTGTTTAATCCGCTCAGCCCTAAGGTGGGTCTTGCCCTCTGAAAGCTTATATTCTATTTGGGCATAGAAAAAAGGCAGTTTCAAGGAAGGGAAGCGTTTGATATTTTTTTCTTCTTTTAACATCAAAAAACATTTCAACTGATTCATAGCAAAAAGGCAGGGCTAATTTTGTGTTTTGTTCTATCTCTAGAGCCTAGACTATGGTGAGGACCCCAGGATTTGTCTCTTTAGTAAAGTCATCTGGGCCTTTCAGGTGAAAGGCCTTTGATTCTAGGGTTTTCTAGGCTACTAAGGGTGGGATCTGGTGACTTCGGGCCCATGAAGGTGATCTTTGGATTCTAGTGTAGATGGGAAACCAGGACAGTTAACTGTGGGAGATAGCAGACCTTCTCAGAACCATGATGAGGGCTTTCACAGTTACAAGTTCCCTCAGAAATGCTCAATCAATATTTATTGAATGAAAACATTTAAGTCTTCATTTTGAACCCAGAAAAATCTGTATATTTCTGAAATATGGAAAGAGAGGGTTCTTAGTTAACATTCAGTTCAAACTTCCTCATTTTGGAATGTGGTAATGAGGCCCCAAAGGCAAATGACCCGTCCAAAGTCACACAGCCAGAGTCAGGGAGCCAGGTTCCCCTCAGCCCCCTGTCCCTTGTTCTTATAGGACTCTTTTGAGCTCTGGGAGGAGGTGCTACTCAGGGGCGAGTCTTTGGGCTCTGTGACTCAGACAATTCAAAACAGGAAGTAGATCGGGCAGTGCCTAAGTTCTTCCTCAGTTCTTCTAAAGCTCTTTCTTTAGAAACATCAGGAAACAGGGGTGTGTGAAGAAGCTGCTGCCGCTGTGAGGGTCCCAGGATTTGCTTCTTTCATAAGGTTGGTTGGTCCTGTGGGGAGAAGGGCCTTTGATCTAGAGTTTTCTAGGCTGCAGAGGGTGGGGAAACCATAAGAAATAGCACGCAGTCCCTTTAAGAGCCACGGCGAGGGCCCTACAGACTCTAGATCTCAAGGCCTCCTGCAGCTTATGTTCGGTTTTTCTGGAATGCTCCAGGTATAACTATACAGAGAACCTCATCCTTAATCAAATTGTGACAGAAGCAGTGGTAGAGTTGGGCTCTGGAATGAGATGACACCATCTAAATCCGGGCTCTAGCATGTACAGGTTTGATTTGTAAGGTTCTGATCTGTTCTCTGCCACAGTGGATTTATTAAGAATTCCCGTTTTTGTGTTTTGGGAGTTGTATTTTTTGTCTTAAAGTGTTTTAAATATTTTAATCTTTAAAAATCTTATGATTACTTTTTTTTTTTTTTTTTTTTGGTTACATTCCTTCACTGGCTTCCAGCTCCAAGTAGGATAAAATCTAAATCTTTGCAGGGCCTGTCGTGGAAGCCCTCGAGTGAGATGTTCAAATCTGAGCCTGCTGCCTCTCTTACCAGCTTCTATCTAAACTGATTTTTCACAATAGTAACATGAAGATGATAATACCAGTTTCTTCAGAGGCTTGTAGTACAATGAGTCAAAAAATATTTTTATGTTTATATGGATATATGTTATAAACACCTGTATATCATAATATAAACATTTATATCAAATACTTTGGGGGCATAAATTTATTACTAAAAATAGTAAAGATGCTTATATATTATATAATACAAATATACTTTTATGGATTTATTATTTAACAGATATTATATAATCGAAAGTAAAAGAAAACTTCCTGGAGGCCTTGCATCCCCATTCTTTTCTTCTGCCTTATATGTATTATTCATGAAATATTCAAATTTACATGTTTTATGTCTGTAATACACATTACACATGTGTATTTACACACACACACACACACACACACACGCACACACACACGAATATAGTTGGAAGGAAACCACCAAATGTAACCAAAGAGTTATCTAAATGGTGAGTTTCTAAGTAATTTTTCTTTTCTTTATATACTTTTCTGTATTTTCTCTAAGGGGTAAGTGTGACTTTTACTATTTTATGATCAGAAAAATACAACAATAAAAGTTCTTTTAAAAATATTACTATAACAAAGTTTCTAGCCCCTGATCTTATGCGGTAAACCCAGGTCCCATAAAGCAAGGGCCATCTGCGGTCCCTGTATCTACAGATCTCGGTGCCTAGGGGTGGCTCCTTTGCCAGCAGTGTAAGATTCTGTTGCAGCTGACTGCTTTCCAGGCGCTATGACTAGAGAGATGTGTGACCCAAACAAACAAAGATGGAATATTATCCCTTAGTGTATCCTGTAAAATCTGGGCCAGAAAAGAAGCCTCACCAGTATTTTTCCAACTAACTCTCCATTTTGATGTGATGCAAAATCATTCAGAATGCGATGAGGCAGCTACAGGGGATAGGAGCCAAGGCCCAATCATCTTAACAGAAACTCATATCATTCTGGCCTTGGATTGTATTATTATTATTATTTATATCCTGTCAGAAAATGCTGTTGAATATGTAACAGAAGCCTTAAGAAGGCTTCAGTAGTTAGTACTTCTAGGAAATTATTGTAAGAAAATAATCAGATTTGTACATGGGGATAGACATTTAAGATTTTATTCTAAATGTAAGCAGAGACTGTTACGTAAATTATGGCCCAATCATATGATTAGGTACTTGAAAAAATTTTAAATCCATGCTGTAGAAGAAAAAAATGAAGATATGAAGATGTACATGAAGATGTACTTAACAATATTACCATTTGAAAAAATCCACTTATACCTCAGAAATATGGTGTGATAAAATGCAAGGGAAAAATAAATATAAAATATTTGGTAGGAAAGATAGTAAAATATTATTAGGTGATTATTTTTGGATAGTGGATTATAGGTCATTTTCTTTCTTTTTTATCTTTTCTTTATTTTCTAAAATGAATACAATAAGCATTGCTATCAAAAAAATTGTGGTGGGTAAAAAAGAGATTCTGCTTTCATTTAATTCTTTGGTTCATTTAACTGTGTAAAATGAGATTTTAACAGTGGTTAGAACTGATTTAAAAATTTTAAGGACATTGGAGCTAATGGTGCTAAACAGGGCTGGACCGAGTTTAGATCCTTCCCAACTTTTGAATGAAAATGGGTCTTTAAGTGGTAATTTTAATTTAAATATGAGTCCTTGTAGAATAAGTAATACATGCACCTAGTAAAAATCCAAACTTAAAGCCTTATTTTCTGCCAATCCCTGGGCTTCTAGTTCCTCTCCTTGGAGGCAAACCACTGAACCAGCTTCTTGTGTGTTCTGTTCAAAGATCTTTTGTGAATACACAAATCCATGCACCACTTGATAGTATGTTGTATAGACCACACATATCCACTCATGGCGAGCTTCCCATTCTTTTTAAATATCTAAGGAGATATTGATAAACAGTTATTTCTGCCCTTCTGTTCTTTCAAGCAATGTGGCCATGTATAGCTTTGTACATGTTTTTCTAAGTGCATTACGTTTAAGCTAATGTAGGAAAAACTCCTAGAAGTTAAGTTGTGAGGTCATTTTATATTTTGACCGATGTGGCCAAATCACCTACCTACCTGTTTTTATTCCTACCATCTCATGACACTGTATTACAAGTTTTGTGCCTCACCAACTTGGCAGTTGAAAACTGATCTTTTGTAATTTCAACTTTTTTTTTTTTTTGGCGAATGAAGTTGAATGTCTTCTCAAATGTTTGAAAGCCATTGGTTAAAAAAATAAAGCCAGTGTTACTTTTCTCTGAAATGTGTGCTTATGATCTTTACTTGTTTATGCATTGGATTGGATCTCTTTATCTCTCTTTCAAAAAAAATTGACCTATGGGAGCCTTATTTTAAGTAAATAAGCCCTTTTCTACTCTTTCACTTAAGTGCAAGATTTATTTAAATGTTGCAATTTAAAATTTAAAAAATTTGAAGAATGATTTAGCTATTATTTAAGGACACTTATCAACCTTTTTTTTTACTGGCTTCCAGGTTTTCTGTTGTACTTAGAAAGTTCTTTACCGTGGCATGATTATTTTGAAAAATTTTCCTGTGTTTCTTTCCTCAGTATTTTAATTCGGGGGTTTTAATCTCTGATCTATCTGCAGCTTTTTTTAATGTAAGGAGTTCAGTTATGATCCATTTCAGTTTGTTCTAGAAGTCTGCCCAATTATTCTAACACCATGTGTTGAAAAAGCCACCCAAATGTGGATAGCCCTTTCTGTAGTGTGTTTGTCTTGGCCATTTTTCATTGTTAACTTCTAATTAACACATTAATTTCTGATTTCACTGCTAAGTCCTAAAAGAGAATATGGACCGTAGTATTTCTGCTCTTTGGCACTCTCGTATTGAGATTTTCTTTGTGGACAATTTTTGTGACTATTTGGTATGTGTTTGAAAGGATGTGTATTTGCTACTGGTAGGAAATACTGTTAGAGTTTGTCATTTGTACCAGCTGGATCTTCCAGTCTTCTACTTAGTCTATTAGATTTTTTTATTTTCTGAGAAAGGCGTGTGTGGAACTTTCCTTCTCTTTTGGAGGCAAATAAGTTCTCTGGGTTCTCTTAAAGTTGTTTTTTAAAGTTTAAGTTCTAATAATTTCTTTTCTTTCAAGAACACACATGTGGTGGTGCCACTCCTCTCCCTGGTCTCCTTCCTGATTAATCTGCCCTTGGCATCCCAGAGGGCCTCATTTCGTGCTCCTCCTTCACTCACTCTCTTACAGTACCTTAAACCCAAGAACACATCCACGTGTTTGACAGTAGTTTCATTTTCACAAAGCATATCTACATACATTCGTCTTAATATATTACAGGAAAAGGGCAAATCTCCTTCCTCATTCCTTCACCCCGCAAGTCCTAGTTTTGTCCTTCATTTCCCAGAAGAAACTTTTGAATTTGGTATGTCTCTTCCCAGCACCTCCTTACCTTTTTCTTTTCTGCTTTTGCAAGTGTACCTGTAACAACCGAAAGTCTAATAGTACTGTTTTGAGGGTTTTTTTAAAGTGGATTTATGATTTTTAAATATTTTTTAATGTTTATTTATATGTTTTGAGAGAGAGGGAGAGAGAAAGAGAGAGAGCGAGAGCTGGTGTGAATGCCGGAGAGGGACAGAAAGAAAGGGGGAGAGGGAGAATCCCAATTGGGCTCCACGCTCTGAACTGTGAGATCATGACCTGAGCCGAAATCCAGAGTTGCTGGCTTAACTGACTGAGCCACCCAGATGCCCTGATGTATGATTTTTTAAAATATTGAAATTGTTTTTCCTTTCTTCTTCTTCTTCTTTTTTTTTTACTGTCATACTAACACATCTTGGATAGCTATCATTTTTATTTCAGAAGATGGAGTACATTTTCATAATTGCTGCATAATATTCTGTAGTATGACCATACATTGGTTTATTTAGCCATTTCTTTATTGATGGACATTCGAGATGTTTCCAGTTGTTCAGGGTTACACATTGTGTGGTGGTGACACTCCATGCACATATCCTGTTTAGCACATGTGTGTTTCTATGGAGTGTGACTTAAGGAATGAGCTTGCTAGTTTGTTCCCTTATATGTCCAAGTTTTGTTTGCTGCTTAAAAAAATTTTTTTTAAATGTTTTATTTTTGAGAGAGAGAGACACACACTCACAGAGCGAGTGGGGGAGGGGCAGAGAGAGGGAAACACAGAATCCAAAATAGGCTCCAGACTCCGAGCTGTCAGCACAGAGCCTGACACGGGGCTAGAACCCATGTATCCTGAGATCATGACCTGAGCTGAAGTCAGATGCCCAACCTACTGAGCCACTCACACACCCCTGCTGCATTTTAAATATATGCTGTTAGGTGCTCACCACATATTTAAGATATCTTTTCTTAATAAAATAATTTTTTGATAATTGATTGCTTTTGTGAAAGATCTAGGCTCTGGAGGCTTTGTGAATCCAGTGCAAAGTATATCTTCCCAAGAGATTTCTAGTTTCCTGAATTAAGAAAATTTGTCTAAACAAGGATGCTCTGGGTCGTCTGAGTGGCTCAGTCCATTGAGGGTCTGACTTTGGCTCAGGTCATCATCTCATGGTTTGTGTGGTCAGACCCCATGTCAGGCTCTGTGCTGACAGCTCAGAGCCTGGAGCCTGCTGAGGATTCTGTGTCTCCCTTTCTCTCTCTGCCCCTTCCCTCACTCACTCTCTGTCTCTCTAAAAAATAAACATTTAAAAAAACTTTATTTATTTATTTTTTTCTTAAATAGTTTATTGTCAAGTTGGTTTCCGTATAACACCCAGTGCTCATCCCAACAAGTGCTCTCCTCCATACTCATCACCCCCCTTCCCCTCTCCTTCACCCCCATCAGCCCTCAGTTTGTTCTCAGCATTCAAGAGTTTCTCATGGTTTGCGTCCCTCCCTCTTCGCAATTATTTTTCCCCTTCTCCTCCCCTATGGTCTTCCGTTAAGCTCCTCCTAATCCGCCTATACATGCAAACATATGGTATCTGTCCTTCTCTGCCTGACTTATTTCACTCAGCATAAAACCCTTAAGTTCCATCCACGTTGCTACCAATGGCCAGATTTCATTCTTTCTCATTGCCATGTAGTATTCCATTGTATAGATAAACCACATCTTCTTAATCCATTCATCAGTTGATAGACACTTAGGCTCTATCCATGATTTAGCTATTGTTGAAAGTGCTGCTATGAACATTGGGGTACATGTGCTCCTATGCCTCAGCATTTCTGTATCCCTTGGGTAAATTCCTAGCAGTGCTATCGCTGGGTCATTGGGGAGTTCTATTGTTAATTAAAAGAAAACCTTTATAAATAATGATGTAAGTTCTAGATTAAATGGGAGAAAAAGGTTTTGCCCCATAATTCTAATTCTAAAGTGAAATAGTCAGAGTTATGCACAGGGTATATAAAAAAGCTCCCCAATACAATACTTTTAAGAGTAAAGAAATTGAAAATTTCTTAAAATAAATTTTAATGATCCACATGCTGGAGATCAATAAACATTAAAAATATGCCAAAGAAGAATATTTAGGGGCACCTGCATGGCTCAGTTTGTTGAATTTGACCTTGGCTCATGATCTCCCGGTTTATGGGTTTGGGCCCTGGGTCCAGCTCTGTGCTGACAGCTCAGAGCTTGGAGCCTGCCTCATATTCTGTGTTTCCCACTCTTTCTCTGCCCCTCCCCTGCTTGTGCTCTCTCTATGTCAAAAAATAAATAAATAAACGTTAAAAAAAAAAAGAATATTCAATGGTTGAGCCAAATGTTCATTCTAAATATTAAGTGGGGGGACATAGATGTATACACCTGGATACACAAGCTGATTCTAATTTTTATATAAATGTATCTTTCTCTGTGTGTGTGATGTATGATAATGATAACCCTGACCATGTTACAATTTACTGTGTTTTCAATTTTCACACATACAAAAACTACTGCTTCTATAATCAGAGTGGGTAGGGGAGAGGGAAGGTGTTTTTAAAAGGAAAACCTAAAACTTTCAAAGACTTCAGGGCACTTTATAAAAATATTAAAACTTTAATGTGAAAATCAAAAATATTTCCATTTTAACAACAGATATAGAAAATACATGGGTCTTGGTTCACTAGATTATTACTTCAAGTAATAGAATTTATGTTTTCATCTAAGAATGTTAGTCAGTGCAGGAAGCTCAAGGATCTAGGAACCCATTCAATTTGCTTCTGGGAGGAAACAGCTACAAATTAGTTAAGGTCATTTGAGGTTAAGGAAAATGCCCAGGGGCAGAGTCTGTGGGATCAAGGAAATGGCAGAACTGGATGGAATTTAAAGGTTTTCTAGTTCAGGGTTCTCAAATCGCAGTCCTCCAGGACTACCTCCTAAGGTAAGGGAGCATCTGAGTAAGGCTTCAATGAGTTTGAAAAACACTACTTCCAAATGTGTTTTCCACTAGGGAAATGTGAAACCAAGGGAGTCAGAGAAGTACTTAAGGTCATGTGCCCAGTTCATGTCAGGTCCCCATGGCCAGGGTCTGTTTCCTTGTTTCAGGTTAACACTCATTTTTTTTTCATTAGTTGCTGGTCATTACTCCACATGCCTTATAAGAGTTACTTAGTCACAACACTTAGGAGGTGGGTATTCTGATCCTCATTTGACAGAAGAGGAATCTAACCCTCGGAGGACGTGAGCTGCCCAGGCCTGGGCCCAGTGATCCAGATGGGCTCTTATCGAAGTTTGTCTGACACTAAAGCCCCATAATCTGAACCACTGCACAACCCACCTCCCTGGATGCTCTTCTATAGGTGAGCTTCCTGGCTTTGACCATGATACTGCAGCCACCTTGCAGAGCTGGGTCCCAAGCTTGTTCCTTTGAAGAATCTAATACAAACCCTGCTCCCAGGGCTTTTTAAAATCACAAACATGGGCCTATCAGAGCAGGGAGGGTGTAGGAGGTGACTCAAAGGGCTCACTGGAGGAGGAATTCCAGATCCTGGGCTGCTTGTGTGAAGGTTGTCTGGGGTTTCCAGAAACACTGCCCTCTCCTTTTTTATCTGTTCAAACATATAAGTGTGTGAAAACACCATGTAATCTGATTTAGAGACTGTTTGAATTGAAAGGTTGACAAAGTTGACTGGTTCCATTTGCAGTCATGGGTTCTTGATCAGTTGTGGGTACTGGTCCTGAGGCCTTTGGGGGACAGCGCTGCATCATGTCTTCTAGCACCATTGTTTCAGTCAGACCCGATCACTTCTCTGGCCGCAGCCCTTCCAATCTGTTCTCCACACTTTTATTGTTAATCCCAGACTGGCTGACATCACACTCTTTTCTTGGCTCTCTGTCATCTCTAGGACAATCTCTGAGCCCTTGCCCCACAGTGGGACACCCTTTGTAACAGTTCTTGGCCACAGCTTCATCCTTTTTCCCACCCCTCTCCCCTTCTAGGCACTTGGTGGTTATTTTATTGAGCTCCTTGTGCCTACCTGAATTGACCAGAACATCCTTGCCTCCATCTTTTGCATAGTTACTTCTTGCAAGAATTATCCTTTCTTATCTCCTTCCCAAAGGTGCCTTCGCTCTAGGAAGCCCTCCTCCTGGGCTGCACTGGGGCTCTTTCCTCTCTATTCCTACTGTGCCCTGGTCACAACTCTCTGACCATTGGCTAATTTGTATATCTACTTTACAAAATAGTAAGCTACTTGAGAGCAGAAACTTGTGTCTGTTTTTTGTTTTTTGACCTGTGCACAGCAAAACATCTGGTGTATAGTAGAAATAACAGCTTTTGATGAAGAAATGAAGTAGTGAATGGTAGTTTTCTTCCTCGTCTGAACATAATATTGTATTTTGTCCTAGGCGACAACTACATTCTCCTGACACTTGACCAACATGAATTTCAATAAATGTCTCTATAATATTGGGGAATGGCTAGGCAGCGATGACCTGGCCTCCCTCAAATTCCTGAGCCTGGACTACATCCCACAAAAGAAGCAAGAACCCATCAAAGATGCCTTGATGTTATTCCAGAGACTCCAGGAAAAGAGAATGTTAGAGGAAAGCAACCTGTCCTTCTTGAAGGAGCTGCTTTTCCGAATTAATAGACTGGACCTGCTATTCAAATACCTGCACACCAGCAAGGAAGAGATGGAGCAGGAGCTTCAGACACCAGGCAGAGCTCAGATCTCTCCCTACAGGTGGGGAGAACTTTCACCATTCAGGCACTGGGAGCTGTGGGTGCAATGGACACATCTTTGTGGGCTGGGCTGATGACGGGGTGTCTGTGTGGTATGACTTTGGAAGTTCCTTGAAGATGTCCCACCAGGACCAGATTAAGAAATTTAGAGATCCTATATATAATTTAGGAAAAAAGTTAAACCATAAAATAAAAACACTTGTTTCCAAAGTGAAATGTTATCTATAGGTATGCCGAAATTAAAACAGACATCTTCTGAACGTTGTCTCTCTCTGTTCTGTCTCCCCTTTTGTTACCTCTGCTCTGCTTCTGTCCACATCATGTGCTTACTTTGCCTTCTACTGGATAATGCGTCATTACTTCTTATGTGAAATCTCCCTCCTGCCAGCTTGTGGATGACTATGGATATTCTCAGTGGGGTGTTAGGCTTTTATCCCACACTGAAAGTGTTGTATCACAAAGTTCTCCAATTAGGGGTGTATGCTGTCAGTCATTATGGACTGGCCAGGCTGGACCCCACAAGACTGGACTCTGTGTGCCCAGCTGCTGCCAGGAGAATGGTGGTGACTTTGGTAGTCAGTCCTGCCAAACGTCTCCAGCTAGGCCTCTCCCCACTTGTGGAACAGTGGGTACTCAGAGCTGATAACAAACCATGTTCTATTACCTCTTGGTGAGTTGGTAACAGACTTTTAAAATAGAAACATATTACCAACTTCTCTATTTCAACATCCCCTGTTATCAGATGCTCCTTAAAGTTATTTTTAGCTTTCCTTCTGAAAACTGCTACTCAAGTCTTAGCTATGGCCCATTTCACAGTCTCTTCTTTCTTGTCATTAATGATGACATGTGTGACAAGTCCTCATAGCCAGCTGTGAAAGCCATTATCTTCTACTGGCTTGGCTTATTATGAATGTCCTGGTCCTTAATCTCAGAGACCTGAGATTCTGACACATTCCTTATCACATGTTTCTCTACGTGAAGACTGAGCATTTTGAAAGAGAGATATTCTGGGTGTATTAGTTTCCTAGGGATGCTGTAACAAAGTACTGCAGACTGAGTGGCTTAGCGCAGTAGAGATATTTATACACCCATAGTTCTGGGGGTTACAAATGTAAAGTTAAGGTGTCAACAGGCTTGGTTCCTTTTGGAACTCTAGGGAGAATCTGTTTCATGTTTCTTTCTCCCCTAGCTTCTGGTGCTGGCAGGCAATCCTTGGTGTTCCTTGTCTTTTAGATGCACCACTCCAAGCTCTGTCTCCAATCTCCTTTCTGTGCCTGTTTGTCAGAATTTTCCTCTTCTCAGAAAGACACCAGTCATTGGGTTAGGGCCCACCCTAATCTAGTGTGACCTTGGTCTTAACAAGATTACAACAGCAGAGACCCTTTTTCCAACTAAAGTCACATTAACAATCCAGGGTGGACATGAATTTAGGAGGCACGTTGAGGGAGGACATTATTTAATACTGGATAACTTTGGCTTAATGGAATTGTGACACTTTTCCATGAAGGCACCAATTAGTCCTAAAAAACAACAGCCCTAGAATGAGAAAAGCTGGAGGTCTCATCTTAGGCCCACCATCTTGGTCTTTTGAAAGTTGCACTTCTCCTGCCAGACAAGCAAGGTTGAGGCATATTGTCAATGCCACACAATGAGCTGTACCTGTCTGCTGGAGGGCTAAGAGTCTCTAAAAAGGGAGGATCTATCTGTTAAACTCTTAAACATGTTCACTTGGGAACAAAAAGTCAGCACAAGTTCTACTGTTGTTAATCATTGTTGGATGTTAACCAGGAAATGAAAAGTATGCTAATGTGACCACTTTCCACTTAGAAGAAAGCATTAGACACTTTTATTTTCAAATTATAATTGCTACTTATCAAATAAGTATCTTATGAACTACCAGGTTTATTTCTAGACAGTGATGGTATAAGGAAGCTAGTAGGTTTTAGTAATGAGGAAAGTAAAAGGGAAAATACTTTGTACTAAAGTTAAAAGGGACAGCAGCTTTTGACTGGACCCAATCTCAGCCAAACTGAGAAGGCTTTGGAGAAATACTTCTAGGGTGGAATCCATGAGAGGAAGGATAAAGCAGATAATACTGAGTAACTTCTGTTCCACACTATATCTATTTTCAGAATTTTCATTTTCTAATTTGAAGTTAGCATGATTTTGTGTTAATGTTAGTTTCCTTTATACCATAATAGTAAAAGGTTTTCTAACTTATTAAATATTCCTTTGTTCATTCAATAAACATATCCCAAGAACCTATCATGGATTAAGAAATAGTAACGCTTGGGGCACCTGGATGACTCAGTTGGTTGAGCCTTCGACTCTTGATTTCAGCTCGGATCCTGATCTCACCCTTTGTGGAGTGGAGCCTGCATTGGGCTCTGCCCTGACAGCACAGAGACAGGTTGGGATTCGCTTTCTCCCGCTTTCTTTGCCCCTCCCTGGCTCTCTCTCTCTCTCTTGCTCTCTCTCTGACTCTCTTCCAAAATCTATAAACTTAAAAAAAAGAAGAAATAATAGGGGTGCCTGGGTGGTTCAATTGGTTGAGTGTCTGACTTTAGCTCAGGTCATGATCTTTTGGGACGTGAATTCAAGACCTGCGTCAGGCTCTGTGCTTACAGTTCAGAGTCTGGAGCCTGCTTCAGATTCTGTGTCTCCCTCTCTCTCTGCCTCTCCCCCACTCACACTCTGTGTCTTAAAAATCAATAAATGTTAAAAAAAAAAAAGTAAAAAGAAAAAAGAAATAACGATGCTTATTGTGTATTGAACACTTAGTGTGTTGCCAAAGATTGGTTTAAGCGCTTCAGATAACTATATTCATGTTATTCTCACTATGTCCAGTGGTATATAGAATTATCTACAAGTTTATAGATGAGGGGAAAAAAGTGACATGTTTAAAGTCACACAGCTCTGAGGTTGTGGAACCAAGGGTCCAACACCAGTAGTCTGGGACCTCTGCACTTAAATACTGTACCTCATGACCCACTGGGCTTATGTAAACAAAAAGGGCATGGACTCTGCTCTCAGGGGACTCAGAGAGCTTCATAAACAATTATGACATCTTGTGTAAGCCTTCTGCTGTGGCAAAGGCACAGTGAGGTGAATGCAGCCCTGAAGACACTCAAGTGGTCCTTAGGCAGGTAGTGGGTGAGTGGTTAGTTGTCTGCAGATGGACAAGGGAATGGGGGTGTGGGGAGCACAGCATAAAGGGGTGAGGGGCAGGGCAGCCAGGTGGGTTTGGAGAGGAGATGAGGGTGAGTGGTAAGTGGGAAGCCTGAGAAGCTGAAGAGGTAGGCTGGGCTTCACAAAGGTCTGTATTCCAGAACCATGTGTTTGCCCTTCCTATGGCAGAGCACTGACAAGCTTTAATAAAGGAAGTGATGATCCAGTTTTCATTTTGAAAAGCATAATTTCCTAAGTAAAAACTTTTTCCTACCGCAACAAGCTCTTGATTTTATAGTGAGGGTCGAAGGCAAAACACACTTCACTTAGCTGAAATGAATGGAATGACAAAGTTAGTGGAACTTTAAATTATGTTGAGGGGAGAATAGTTGGGCAAGAGTCAGTAGCCTTCTGTGTCATCACAGCAGCCTCTTTCCAAGACCTCCACTCACAAATTATTTCATTAGGTATCTTTGTTTTAAGGGTAGGTGACTAGAATCAAGTCTCCACTGTGACTCCTTTCATCAAATGAGAAATTATGTATGAAACCATTTCTTTTTTTTTTTTTTTTCATTTTTTTTATTTCTGAGAGAGAGAGAGACAGCATGAACAGGGGAGGGTCAGAGAGAGAGGGAGATACAGAATCTGAAACAGGCTCCAGGCTCTGAGCTAGCTGTCAGCAGAGAGCCTGACACAGGGCTCGAACNTGAGAGAGAGAGAGACAGCATGAACAGGGGAGGGTCAGAGAGAGAGGGAGATACAGAATCTGAAACAGGCTCCAGGCTCTGAGCTAGCTGTCAGCACAGAGCCCGACGTGGGGCTCGAACCCATAAACCATGAGATCATGACCTGAGCTGAAGTCAGACGCTCAACAGACTGAGCCACCCAGGTGCCCCAAACCATTTCTTTTCTTTAATGTTTATTTATTTATTTTGAGAGAGAGAGAGAGTGACAGAGAGAGCCCATGTACAAGCAGGGAAGGGGCAAAGCGAAAAGGAGAGAGAGAATCCCAAGCAGGCTCCGTGCTGTCAGTACAGAGCTCCATGTGGGGCTTGAACTCACGAACCATTGAGATCATGACCTGAGCCAAAATCAAGAACCGAATGCTTAACTGACTGATCCACCCAAATGCCCCTAAGAAACCATTTCTAAAGTGTCTCCATTTCCCACCACAGGGTCATGCTTTTTCAAATTTCAGAAGATATAAGCAAATTGGAATTGAGGTCGTTTAAGTTTCTTTTGAGCCAGGACATCTCCAAATGTAAAGTGGATGATGATATGGTAAGAACTGGTGTTTCACCAAGATTTGGTCCTGAGGGAGAGTCAGCCAGTGAGGATTTCTGAAACTGGAGAGAGGACTAGTCTAATAAAAACAACTTGGACTCTCACTTTTCAAACAGAGAAGAAGAGAAAAGTTTTCAGGCAGCAGTGTTGTAGATAGGATTCCTTTGTCTACTGGGAAAGGCTGCTCACATTAATTATCAGGAGCATGGCAGAGTCAGGAGCTACAGAGGAAGATTGGTTGTGGAGGTATACCCTGGTGTGGGACCCTACAGAGCCAGGAGAGGCAGTGGTGAGCTGGAGACACCTTCCGACTTCTGTAGTCTCTGAAACTACCTGGGATCTGGAACTCCGTGTGTGTGTGTGTGTGTGTGTGTGTGTGTGTGTGTGTGTGAACATGGGACTGGAAGTGAATCAGGTACCAAAGTCAGTGTTGGGAGAGAGGCAGTCCCCAGGGCTGTCACCATGGGGACCAGGCTACTGTGTCTCAGCCATGTACCTCAGGCTGTTTCACAGAATTCACACAAAGGTGTCCACAGGTGGTTTCAGCACAGGGCTTGGGGCCTGGGGCCTGGGTAACATCTGATGTCACTTCTCTGTCTTCTCATTTCTGTCTTACTGAGGCAGAAAACACAGAATTGCATCTCTAGTGCTATTTTGGTTTTATAAGACCAGGATGTCCTCTTGGGAGGGTCAGCTTGGGAAGCTAGGGTGGGCCCTCTATTTGGAGATAATGGAATTAAAAAAAGAAAATCTAATCTAAAAGCCAGTATGTCTCAATCCAGTCTTCCAAATTTATTTCTTTTCCTTTTAGAACTTGCTTGATATTTTCATAGAGATGGAAAAGAGGGTCATCCTAGGGGAAAGAAATTTGGACACTCTGAAAAGAATCTGTGACCAAATCAACAAAAGCCTGCTGAAGAAAATCACCGATTATGAAGAATTGAGCAGAGGTAGAAATAACTTGACAGCTGTGAATTAGCCAAATGTATTCTTAAAATGACAGATCTCTCTATGTTAGGATTGTTTTTAATCAATATGTGTTTCTTTTTTTAATTCAGAGGGAAGACCGAGCCTTCAAAGAAGTCAAGATGAATTTTCAAATGGTAATATTGGGAATATGTTTTTAAGATTTACTCAGTTAATTTACTATCTCATACCCCCATTGCCTCCTCTCCACAGCCTTCTACCACATCTACATCTTAATGTTCTAGCTTTCCTAATATGAAGAAGTAGGCATAAGGCCTACTTGTTGTCACTTCTACACATCGAAAAATATAAAAAAGTTGTCAGGAGACATTGACCTTGCAGCTCCAGGTTGGCAAGTTTGAAGTAGATGAAGAGTTAGTCAGTAAAAAGATTTTTACTTATTCTGTGGACTGCAAGGTCCAAGACTGTTCAAGGCAGTCTGTGAATTTTCATTTTAAAGGGGACCTTATGATGTCCTGCGTGCTGTGTTTCTTTACTAAAGTATCATCTCTGCCATATCTAATTCTCCATTGCTTGTAGGGGTGGAGTCCCTGGAAATGATGGCATTGTTGGACTCTCCACAAGAACAGGACAGTGAGTCACAGGTATGGAGAAATTCCAGTTCCTTTTTTCCCTTTGCATTGAAGATTCTAGTTCTTATATTCCTTAGCTTTTAAGCTTCTAGATAAACTAGTAAGGGGGCAGACACTTATGGGAAATTTTGAGAACTATAGAAAATTTTTACAAAAGGACAAATTTTAAAATGTGATTCTTTAAGTTTTAACATTAAAAAGTGTTAAAAGTCTATTTTATTATTATTTTTAAATATATAATAATCAATTTTATTTTTTTCTTTCATAGTTTATTGTCATCTTGGTTTCCATGTAACATCCATTGCTCATCCCAACAAGTGCTCTCCTCCATGCCCATCACCCTTCTTTCCCTATCCCCTCCCCCCGCCCCGCCATCAGCCCTCAGTTTGTTCTCAGTATTCAAGAGTCTCTCATGGTTTGCCTCCCTCCCTCTCTCCAACTATTTTTTCCCCTTCTTCTCCCCCATGGTCCTCTGTTAAGCTTCTCCTATTCCACTTATAAGTGAAAACATATGGTATCTGTCTTTCTCTGCCTGACATTTCACTCAGCATTATAATACCTTCGAGTTCATCCACATTGCTACCAATGGCCAGATTTCATTCTTTTTCATTGCCATGTAGTATTCCATTGTATAGATAAACCACGTCTTTTTCATTTGTCAATGACAATGACATTGATAATTTGCCAATTGTCAATGACAAATCATTCATTTGTCAGTTGATGGACATTTAGGTTCTTTCCATGATTTGGCTATTGTTGAAAGTGCTGCTATGAACACTGGGGAATATGTGCCCCTATGCATCAGCACTTCTGTATCCCTTGGGTAAATTCCTAGCAGTGCTATTGCTGGGTCATAGGGGAGTTCTATTGTTAATTTTTTGACGAACCTCCACCACTGTTTTCCAGAGGGGCTGCACCAGTTTACATTCCCACCAACAGTGTAGGAGGGTTAAAAATTTATTTTAAAAGCAAAGACAAAAGCATTGGAATAGTTGGTGGGCAGAGCAAGTGAGAAGCCTCCTATGCAATTCTTTCGGCAGCTGCCTCAGCCTAAGTGGGAGAAAGCTTCAAGGGGAAAAGTCTAGCAAGACTGGGAAAAGCAAAGCCTTTTCTTTTAGCTTGACATTTCAAAAACTGTTTCTCATTTGTGAGTTAGGTGTAAGCTGCAAATGCTCAAGATCTTGCTGGCTCTATATTCCTGTCTCAATGAGCGAATGCACGAATTGCCTTTTTAGACATAATTGCTTTGATTTATTAACCTTCAAATATTCACCAACTACATTCTGATTCATTAGCCTATTCGCTGCTCTCTGTGGTGAGAAGCAAAGGAAACCCTAAAGGTTGTCAGTCTAGTGGGAGACTAGAAAGTAAGCTGAGAGAGACCAGTTGTAAGTGGGCTCCTGAGCAAATTACCAAATCTTCCTAAGTCTGAAAATCAAAAATTAACCAAAGTCATATGTCACTTTGCAAATAGCAAAACACTCTACAAGTGTCATCCCTACTGAATTATACTTCCCTACTGAACTGCTAAACCTGCTGAGTGCAAGAGAAATTTGGTAACTTGTACAAAGTCTTAAGGTTATTAAGTTGTAGAGCCAGGAACTTGAGCCCTTAGTGTGGAGCCCTTTTCTCTACCTCAAGGAGCTGCGTAGATTTCCCAATGCATGCTGAATATTAGGACTGAAACAGCACTGGGAAAGTCAGGATACAAGGCCATCTCTGACTGATGCCTTCAGGTATAAGTCTGGATCCTGTAACCTGTGGTGTAGCCAAGACCCACCTGACTAGTACAGGTCTCTCTTCCAGTTGCTGTGGTCCTGAGAGCCAAATTAAGTCATCGGCTTTCAAAATCCTGGGACTGCACTATGTCAAGTGTGAAGGCCAGTCCCTCAGCTGTTAGCCCAGAAACATAGATGAGTTGAATAACTAGCCAAGGGAATCACAAGGTGACAGACAGACAACCCAAAAAACAGCATTAAGACGTTCATTCATTCAGCAACTTCTGGTTGAGCTTTCACAAATTAATAAATTCTAGTCCCTGGTGCAGATGTTAGCCACCTTGAGCTTAAACTAAAACAAATAATGAAAATATGTTATGATGACAACAATATTAATATATGTGCAAAGTTCTCAGGAGGCCCAAGTACTGGGACCCTGGTTTTAACACTAACTGTGGGACAAAAGCCTGTGTTCAGAGAACAGGTAGAAACTAGTTCACCAGAGAAACAATGTCAAGTTGGGGTAGGGCCATTGAAAGTGCACTTGAGTCCCAGTTTGGCTAAGAGGTTGGGCTGACTTCTTACTAGGGAGTTGTTTGTTCACATCTCAAGTGTTTGACCCACAGAGTCAACTCCTGGGTTGAATTTCTGTTTTCCAGACATCGGACAAAGTTTACCGAATGAAAAGCAAACCTCGAGGATATTGTTTGATCTTTAACAATTATGATTTTAGCAGAGCACGGAAGGATGTGCCCAAACTTCAGAACATTAAGGATAGGAACGGAACAGAATTTGACGCAGGTACATTAGAACCCTGAAAAGAAGTGAAATGTTTCTAATACTTATGTTTTTATCAAAAGGGAAGAACAAAAATTGTACCAACAGGGCCATGTGTTTCAGGAAAAAAATGGACATAATTCTATTTCCTTGTGGAAGTGAAGAACATTTTTATGTATTGGCTAGTTTTCTGTATTTGTTTTTTAATTTTAATTTTATTTTTTAAGTGTTTATTTATTTATTTATTTATTTATTTTTTAATTTTTTTTACAAATAGTTTATCGTCAAATTAGTTTCTACATAACACTCAGTGCTCATCCCCACAAGTGCCCTCCTCCATGCCCATCCCCCCCTCCCCCCCACATCCATCAGTCCTCAGTTTTTGTCAGCATTCAAGAGTCTCTCATGGTTTGCCTCTCTCCCTTTCCCCCACCATTTCCGCCCTTCTTCTCCCCCTTGTTAAGTGTTTATTTATTTTTGAGAGAGAAAGAGCACGAGCAGGGAAGGTGCAGAGAGAGAGGGGAGGACAGAGGATCTGAGGCAGGCTCTATGCTGACAGCAGAGAGTCTGATGTGGGGCTTGAACTCATAAACTGGGAGATCATGACCTGAACCAAAGATGGATGCTCAACTGACTAAGACATGCAGGTGACCTTGCTTTTTTTAAAAATTAATATTTAATCAAGGTAACATATATAAGGTAAAATATTTAGTCTTACTAAAAGGCTAATAATAAAAAGCAACAACAATAAGCTTTGCTTTTAGTTCAACTAAAATGAATCTGCTTCTGTAGAATGTATTATTAAGTGTAAACATTGCTTTGGGATCAAGACAACATATAGAAGTTGCATTTAGAGGGGCACCTGGGCGGTTCATTTGGTCAAGCATCCTACTCTCGATTTCGGCTCATGTCATGATCTCACAGTTTTGTGGGTTCAAGCCCCGCATCAGGTTGTGCATGACAGTGCAGAGCCTGCTTAGGATTCTCTTTCTCTCTCCCTTTCTCTCTCTGCTCCTCCCCTACTCATGCTGTCTCTGTCTCTATCAAAATAAATAAACTTAAAAGAATTTTTAGGGGCACCTGGGCGGCTCAGTCAGTTAAGTGTCCGACTTTGGCTCAGGTCATGATCTCACGGTTTGTGAGTTTGAGCTCCATGTTGACCTCTGTCCTGACAGCTCAGAACCTGGAACCTACTTCAGATCTGTGTCTCCCCCTCTCTCTGATCCTCCCCTGCTCATGCTCTGTCTCTCTCTCTCTCAAAAATAAATAAATTAAAAAAAATTAAAAATATTTTTAGAAGTTGCATTTATAAAAGTTGAGCTATTAGTGCAGATGAAATTGTCAGTCTTTAATAGAAATGGCATTTTCAAATATTAAACTAGCCAGAAATTCTTTTGCTTAGCCTATTTAGGTTAAGATTGAGAACTTATAAGTTAAATGAAAAAATAATTTGCAGCATGTGAACATAGAAATGGCTACTACTAAAAGTGATAATAGAAGTAATCCAACCCAACCACTGTACTTTTGAAAATGGTGTTTATGAGTCGTAACATCAGGTAATGATACATTAACTGAATAAAGTTTGGAAGACTAATGTAGGTTGATTTTAATCATCAAGATTCTGTTAATGGTCTCTGTTAGCAGTTCTTTATTCAAGAAAACCTATTCTAAGATTTCAAAAGCCACAGAGCTGAAGTCCATTGACTATATCACTCATCATCGTATATCTTGATATTGAGGAAAAGATGTCAAGGCTTTGATTTTCGTTCATTTTCTGTTAAAACATTTTTATTAAGATAATATTTGATTCGATTTCTGGGTTTTTGGTCAAAGGGTAGGTATAAAGTGACAGATCTCTAGGATGAAAAAGTATAGAGATCTAATGTATGACATAATGACTATAGTTAATAAAACTGTATTGAATACTAGAAATGTGTTAAGAGAGTGTATTTCAGGTAAACTCATCACACATACACACACACACGGTAATTAAGTATGGGAGGAGATATGTTATTAGCTTGACTGTAGTAATAACTTCATGCTGTACACCTTAAATATATATAATTTTTAGTTTTAAAACAGGAATCAGGCAGCCTGAAAATGTTGAAAGAATTTTACTAGATATTAAAGTACTGCAGGGGAAAATAACGTTATGCATACAGAAAACAAAGCAATGGAAAAATAATGCAATTACTAATTCCAGGAAAGAAAAAATTTAGTAAGAAAGGAAGCATAATTAAAGTACATTTTCAGAGTGCTATTGATTCAACTAAAAGTTGTAAATAACTAAATAAGAGTTCAAATGCTCATCTTATGGGGTGCCTGGCCGGTTCAGTTGGTTGCGCATCTCGACTCTTGATTTTGGCTTGGGTCATGATCTCATGGTTCGTGAGTTTGAGCACTGACAGTGCAGACCTGCTTGGGATTCTTCTCTCTCTTCCTCTTTCTCTGCTCCTCCTCTGCATCTGCATGCACTCTCTCTCTTTCAAAATAAATAAATCAACTTAAAAAAATGCTCATCCTCCATAATAAGAACTCAGTACATATCTAAATTTTATAAATAAATAAATAAATAGCAAAGTGCCCAAATTCATTACAAAATGGAGGCCAATACCAAAATAAAGTAGTTAAAAGTTGAAAGTGGTTGCTTCCATGGGACATGACTGGGTAATAGGAAGAGGTAGAAAAGGGATAGCTTTTTTGTAATAACCCTTTTAGTTGTACTTGACTTTTGAAACGTTCGTATCTTGCATTTTGATAAACAAGTTTGAGAGCGCTCAAGATAAAATAAATATGGATCTTTTATTATAAAAAGTGTTTTGGGGCGCATCTGTGGGGCTCGGTTGAGCATCTGACTCTTGATTTTGGTTCGAGTTATGATCTCAAAGTCATGGGACTGAGCTTTACCATGGAGTCTGCTTAAATTCTCCCTCTCTCTCTCTCTCTCTCAAAAAAAATATAAACATTTAAAAAAATAAAATAAAGTTAAAAATTTTTTTTTACTTTTATTTATTTTGAGAGATAGAGTGTGAGGGGAGGAGGGGCAGAGAGAGAAAGAGACACAGAATCTGAAGCAGGCTCCAGGTTCTGAGCAAACGTTCAGCACAGAGCCTGATGCGGGGCTCAAACCCATGAACTGTGAGATCATGACCGTAGCCAAAGTCAGACACTTAACCGACTAAGCCACCCAGGCACCCCAAAAGGAATTTAAAACTTTAAATAATGTTTTTGCTTTTTGTTCTGATAAGTAATACAATTATTATTTAGATTGGTTTGGTAGTAAGCCTATATGATAGCTTACCCAGTCTTATAGACTAGTTGAGAAAAGACAAAATGTCAACAATAGCACTCTCCCCTTTCTCATTTGCCTTGGGATTAGAAATGTTTTTAGCTAAGAGCAATAAATATTAGAAAACTATGGAAATCAGCCAGGTAATATAAATGGCCTGTGATATAACTGTTCTTCAGTTCAAATTCTTTATCTGATCAGTGTTCTCTCTAGCTCTGGGCTGTGGTCTGGGAATTACTGTGGTGTAATATGATTTTTCTTATTTCACTTTTCAGAGGCTTTGAGTAAGACCTTTAGTGAGCTTCATTTTGAGATTGTGAATTTCAAAGACTCTACAGCAAAGACAATCTGTGAGGTTCTGAAAACCTACCAAAGAATGGACCATAATAACAAGGATTGCTTCATCTGCTGCATCCTCTCCCATGGAGACAAGGGCATCATTTATGGCTCTGATGGGCAGGAAGCCCCCATTTATGAGCTGACTTCTTACTTCACTGGTTCAAAGTGCCCTTCCCTTGCAGGGAAGCCCAAAATCTTTTTTATTCAGGCTTGTCAAGGGGATAACTTCCAGAGAGGTATAGCTGTTGAGACTGACTCTAAACAGAAGGAAGCCTACTTAGAAATAGACTCATCACTTCATAAGAGCTATATTCCAGATGAAGCTGACTTTCTGCTGGGGATGGCCACTGTGAACAACTGTGTTTCCTACCGAAACCCCATGGAGGGGACCTGGTATATCCAGTCACTTTGCCAGAGCCTAAGAGAAAGATGTCCTAGGTAAGTTTTGCCTGCTCTGCCCTTAATTCATTTTTAAGTTTCTAGCTATGGATTACATAGCTGTACTTCCAGGTCAATTACAAAGTGTGAGAGGAGGAAAATGTTAATATCTTTAGTTCATAGATGGAAAAAAACCTGAGATACTTACTGCAGAGTTTCCTTTATTTAGCACTTGAAATGATAGGGTATCATAGAGCAGGGAATGAAGGTAAAGTCAGCCCAGCTCTGGTTTTAGGCAGGAATATGACTGAGCCAACTCAACTGATTTTGGAAGTCTTCCAGGAAGGCACAATAACTCATTTCAATTTTTAACATCCTCCATCTCTGTCAAAGTTGTACAATAGCTAACCAATCTTAAACCCTCTCAGTGTGTTGTGGGAGATAAGTACCAACAAGTAGAAACCCTTTATATTTCAGAATCCCACTAATACGTGGGATATATATCCTACTAATTTGTTCTAATTTGAAGTCTCAAAATGTGGGAAAATATCTTTCCCTCATTTATTATACCCTAAATGATGGTTTTGTAGTCGCAGTTCACACAAATGCACACATAACAGGTGAATAGCAAGCAATCTTCTAGTTCTATACCTCATCATGCTCTAAGTGTATGAAGAGTGGGAATTTCTCATGGTAGACAAAGGAGTGAATGATAACATCAACACCATGTTTTTCTTTTGTAACCTTGACAACGAATGAGCAGGTTGCCTTCTTAGCTAACCTGAGAAGTGAGGCTGGTAAGAAAGGGGTGGAGCAACTGCAGGAGGCATTGAGTTTTCATTTGCCCCAAAGTGATCACAGATGATCACAGAAGCAATGTCAATTTGAGGCAGAGAATGTTTGGGGGCACTGAGGCAATTATGGGGGCAAGTGACACAGTACGTAGAAGAGTAAGGTACAAACAGGGGAGGAGGGAAAGAACCCAAATCTGATGGTGACACTGAGGTTTCTGATGGTCAGTAGGGATCTTGAGTAAACCAAAGATAAGTTATTAAGCTCTGAAGCAACTCCTTTATTGGGAAGCTTTAATAAAAATTAGTTTAGCAACTTAATGATTTCCAATGCCTCATGTTTTGAGGGAAGGAACTGTCACTGAGAACAGCAGATGAAAGGGTCTGCCAGTGTTGTTTTCTCACAGATGGTCACAGTGTTGTTATGTTTTTCAGGGGTGAAGATATCCTCACCATCCTTACCGAGGTGAACTTTGAAGTGAGCAATAAGGATGACAAGAAAAACATGGGGAAACAAATGCCCCAACCTACTTTCACACTGAGGAAAAAACTCTTCTTCCCTATTAATTGATGCTGTTTAGTTGCATAACACTATGCTTAATTTATTTTTTAGTTATAGGCTTTTTTTCTTTCTTTTGGATGGCAGGAGAGGAGAATGAGAGTCAGGACAACCTAATTTCTATGCAAATTCAAGCCTAAATTTTTGACTTCGCAGTAATAGCTAGAGATTGGTATACATAGGCATGGTTTTAATTTTATTTTGGATTTAATGAAAAAGTTTCTAAAAAACTTACAGTAGACAAAAAATATAGTAAATTTAAATGAAATGTATGTAACATCATAAAGTTCAAAAGGAGTGGCAGAATGTTCTTTGTACATCTCTCATCTGCTTTCAACCTAGAATCATTTTTTATTTTTTAAATTTTTTTAAACTTATTTCTGAGATAGAGAGACAGCATGAGCAGGGGAGGGTCAGAGAGAGAGGAAGATACAGAATCTGAAGGAGGCTCCAGGCTCTGAGCTAGCTGTCAGCCCAGAGCCCCCCATAGGGCTTGAACTAATGAACTGTGAGATCATGACCTGAGTCAAAGTTGGGTGCTTAGCTGACTGAGCCACCCAGGTGCCCCACATTCTAGAATCATTTGATTCCCTTCAAATTGTTAAGTATTAGAAAAAAGGATGTCATTCCGAAGCTTTAACCTGGGGACACAGTTAATGATGGTGCAGAGATTTCATAAGACCTAAGAAGGGTGGAAGTGGGGAAAGCAATTTCCCACTTGAGGATTCATAATAAGTGAATGTTGTTCAAGTATTGGGAGATGATGTCATGAAAACCATAATTCTCCTCCTTTCTGTGAAAGGGCTAATTCCTCATTCTTGATTCCTATGAGAATTTGTTAGACTTACATTCCTGCTAACTGGATGTGATTCTATGGGGCAGAATGTGAGGTACAATTGTAAAAGGTGTTGTTAAAAAGGGGACAGTAGGCCCCAAATGGAGTCACTTGTGCTAAACTCCAAGTCAGAAAGTTAATACTTAATTCCTAACCAAAATTCAATTTTCCAGGAATGTAATCTTTAACCAGTCAACATGGAATCACCTGGTCAGCACTGGTGAAATAACCCTGCTGATAAGCTCTTTCCATTCCTCTTAGGAGAGTAACCTAATCCAGTTTGATCTTTAAATTTACTCAGTTGAATTTCTGTTGTTTAACAGTATGCAGGGGGATGCCAGTGACCTCCTCTCAAAGATCACTGAGGGAGATTTTGTGATCCGACCTAGCTAAAAACAAACAAACAAGTAAAAAACCACCTCATGTGTAATGCTTCTGCATCCAACCTGAGCTCTTCTGGCATGTGTGATGGGCAATCTTAGAAACATGTGAGCCTCCTCACCTGAGCTATGAAGAAACCCTGATTTCAGTGGCAGAAGACATCATGACTCTGTCTAGATTTAGATTATACAAAACCCAGGAATGATTTTCCTTGTTCTTATTATTTATAAGTGCAATTAATGCCACTTTTGAAAGGACTGATGTTAATGACATTTTAGCTTCATTTTTTGTACTTCCAGTCCCTCCCTTTCCAAGCCATCCTCTACACTAATTTATAAGTTTTTAAAAATGTAAATTTTAATATGTAATTTCTTATGTTAAAAGCTTTTTTGTAACCAATTGATAAATGATTTCCTTTTATCCTAGCAATATTGTATGCCTTTCATGCATTTGCATTTGCTCTTTCTTTATATGTTTAGTTCATTCTAAATCTTTATGAACTTTTTAAAAAGTTGTTTCTTTAAAGAATGTTTTTTGAATATTTCTTTTCAATGTTTTTGACATTATAAAATAGAATTTTAACTTACTCTTGGTTGAAGATTGTTTTGTTTGTTCATTTTGTTTTTGTTTTTGCTATTGACATCTAACAGGTGGAAAATGTTTGGATCACAGATATGTTTTACTTTAGCCCCCCAGTGTTGGCTCACACAGTTGTATTTTTAAAAAATTTGTTGCCTATCTTTTCATGTGTCTGTTGGCCACCTGGATGTCTTCTTTGGAAACGTGTTTATGTATGCCTTCTGCCCATTTCTTCACTGGATTCTTTGTTTTTCAGGTGTTGAGTTTGTTAAGTTCTTTACAGATTTTGGGTCTGAGTGGCTAAAATTAACAACTCAGGAAACAACAGATGTTGGCGAGGATGTAGATAAATGGAAACCTTCTTGATTTGTTGCAAACTGGTACAGCTGTTCTGGAAAACAGTATGGAGATTCCTCAAAAAACTAAAAATAGATACCCTATGACCAGCAATAGCACTACTAGGAATTTATCCAAAAGATACAGGAGTGCTGATGCATAGGGGCACATGTACCCCAATGTTTACAGCAGTGCTTTCAACAATAGCCAAGTTATGGAAAGAGCCCATATGTCCATTAGTGATAAAAGGATAAAGAAGATGTGGTGTATACATATAATGGCCATACTACTTGGCAATGGGAAAGAATGAAATCCTGCCATTTGCAGCAATGTGGATGGAACTGGAAAGTATTATGCTGAGTGAAATGTCAGTCAGAGAAAGACAGATATTATATGTTTTCACTCATATGTGGAGCTTGAGAAACTTAACAGAAGACCATGGTGGAAGAGAAGGGGAAAAATAGTGACAAACAGAGTGGGAGGGAAGCAAACCATAAGAGTTTCTTAAATACAGAGAACAAACTGAGGGTTGATGGGGGGGGTTGGTGGGGAGGAGAAAATGGGTGATGGGCATTGAGGAGGGCACTTATTGGGATGAGCACTGGGTATTGTATGTAACTGATGAATCATGGGAATTTACCCCAAAACAAAGAGCACACTGTATACATTGTATTTTAGCTAACTTTGCAATATATTATATTAAAAAATTAAAAATTTGTTGCCCATATTTAAAAATTGGGACATGTCACCTAAAAACCACAATGTTTTTTTTTTTTTACTTTTTTTTCTTTCCTTAATAGTTTATTGTTAAATTGGTTTACATATAACACCCAGTGCTCATCCCAACAAGTGTCCTCCTCCATGTCCATCATCCCCATTTCCCTCTCCCCACCCCCATCAGCCCTCAGTTTGTTCTCAGTATTCAAGAGTCCCTCATGGTTGGCCTCCCTCCCTCTCCCCAACTATTTTTCCTCCCTCCCCTCCCCCATGGTCCTCTGTTAAGATTCTCCTGTTCCACTTATAAGTGAAAGCATATGGTATTTGTCCTTCTCTGCCTGACTTATTTCGCTCAGCTTAACCCCCTCGAGTTCCATCCACGTTGGTACAAATGGCCAGGTTTCATTCTTTCTCATTGCCACAATGCTTTCTTTTTTATTTTATTTTTTTTTGAATAGTTTATTGTCAAGTTGGTTTCCATAGAACACCCAGTACTCATCCCCACAAGTGCCCTCCTCCATGCCCATCTCCCCCCTCCCCCCCACACCCATCAGTCCTCAGTTTGTTCTCAGTATTCAAGAGTCTTTCATGGTTTGCCTCTCTCCCTCTCCCCCACCATTTCTCCCCTTCTTCTCCCCCTTGGTCCTTCGTTAAGTTCCTCCTAATCCTCCTATACGTGCAAACAT